AAATGTTCTTTCTTTTACTGCGCGATGTTACCTTTTGCCAGTGGAGGCTTTACCGGTGGTAAATTCCCTTAAGATAAGATGCTTGATTATGCTACTTCAATATATCCCCGGACTTCCTTCGGTGCTTATCAGTGACGGGCTTCTGACCGTTTAGGGCAAGCACACAGGCTTCCAGGAGCTTGTACGCAGGTTTCCTGCGATAACCTTGGGAAGTTGAGGAATTCGTGCAGGCAAGTTCGGGAATCCCCGGAGCGGCGTGCAAGGCCAGAAAGGCGCAGCACGTGCCTCGTAGACAACCATAGCAAGTTGCCTCCAATGAAGTCCAAGTTGGACTAATGTGGATCAAAACCTGACGGCTTTTGTAACTTCACATTATTGCAAAGTAGCAGTTTAGTATCCATTGAGCCAAGCACTAATCGCATTATTGACGAATCTAGGTGACTTAACATGCATCCAGTGGTCGGAGTCTACTTCGACAACTCGGCCGTGCGGGGTAGAGCGCACAAAGTCGAGCCAATGCGGACCGAAAAAAATGGTATTAGCTTGGCGCGGCTCGCCTCGGGTCATGTTCCCCCAAAGGAAGAGGAGTGGGACACTTGCAGGTGGATACGGATGTTGAATGAAGCCTCGGTAAGATAAATTATATTCGTAAGGCCAAGAAGTCCTCCATGTGGCTCTGAGCGGTGCTGGTGCCTCCCAGTAAATTGCTGAACCAACACTCTTGCTGTCGTTTTTCTGTTGCCACGCCTCTCGATTTTGTTCTTGGTAAGTCAAGTTAAGTTTCCAACTTTCGGAAGAGACTGTACTGCCAACATCAAACGATATGATTTGCCTGGCAACTGCAGGATAACGATGAAGCATCTCATACCCGATTACAGAGCCCCAGTCATGGACAACAAGTGTTGGGTCCACAAGATGAGCCTCTAGCATCGTCTGGTGGATTTCAATGAGTTGCTGGGTAATTTTCAACTCCTTATCAGGATCTGCATCAGGAAAGTCAGGGTGAAAATTGGCCAAAGTCACAGCCACACAGTAAAATGAACCATTGAAACAAAAATGTGCAAATTGTGCAGCCCACATCGCAGCGTTGTCTGGCCATCCATGGATGAAAAAAAGTGCTTTGGCTCCAGGCTCCCCGAGCTCAAGCGTCGGCAGCGTCCGTGTCTCATTGGAAACGACCTTGGCTTTGACATCGGAGCAATCTGGGTATCGCGGTTCACTTGAAGCAGGGTTTCGATAATAATACTGACAAAAGTCGACTTCAAGGAGCGAGTCCTCATGCGCATAGACCGCACACAGATGCAAGCCTAGAGTCAATAAAATGTTCTTCCTCCTACACATCCGGAACGAATAGCTGTCTTGTGTTCGCTGGCATCTGTTG